GTTCCTGGGTTCCTTTGTCACACAGCATGATCACAGCTGGAGCTGGCTGACACAAATCTAGCCTTCCAGGGACGACCCAACACCCACGGCCACCCAGTGACGACCCAAGACCCACGACTACCCGCCCCAGGACGTGGAGCTGTGAAGGGCTCTCTGCTCTCTGAGAAGAGCTGAGTCGGTACAGGGGTGCCACACACGGTGCATGGCATTTATTAAGTCCTTGCTGTGTACAGGGCACTTCACAAGCCTTGTCACTCACTCAGATGGTGAGTGACAGAGAAGACCCGGCCTCCGTCTGGGGGACCGCTAGCCAAAGCTGCACACAGGTGCTCGTTCCCGACAGCACCTGCTGCCTGCTGGGGAGGGTGGCCCTCTCAGCCTCTGCAGGGTCACGTGCCTCTCTGTTGTGCGGGCACTGTGGGCCAATGAGTAGCCACCACTGGATGCTAGCAGCCTCTGCCCCAGGGAGACCACAACCACCTCCAGGCATTGCGAGTGGCCCAGGGACACCGTGGAGAGCCACCGTCTAGGTCTGCCTCTGTGGCAATGTCAGCTTCACCAGCGACACTGTGTCCTAGGCCACAGCACTTCAGGAGGTGGACATGAGCACCCCCACTTCTCAGGTGGAAGAACTAACTGGGGTTCAGAGAAGAGCTGGCTAGTGCAGAGCAGCTCGGGAGCAGGCATTGGAGCTGCCCGCTGAGGCCCAGGCCCAGGGACTCGTGCTGGGAGAACCCTGCATGGGGGGAGCTCCCTTGCTTCACAGCAGAATCAGGTCCAGAGACGGGCTGTGCCGGGTACCTCGCTCGCTGGCCTCAGGCCAGGTGCCTCCTCTCCATCTTCTCACCTGAGAAAAGGCGGCTCTTGCAGAGAGAGGCCCTACTGTGCTTCTTCCTCAGCCCCTGGGCCGCGAGAAGCAGGAGTGGGGACTGCTAGTCCCTCCTCTGCCTAAAGTCCGCCCTCGGCCCTGGGTGCCACCCAAAGCAATGCGAATCCTACAGACTCTCCAGAGATGGGGGGCTGTTCCCAAGAACTCACTCTCAAGCTTGCAAAATTGAGGGTAAGTCCCATAGAGCAAAGTTTAGGGGTCAGAGTTCAGGGGAAAGCCAAGGCTATGCCTGAGGGAGTTGCTTCCCACGACCTGGGACAGGCCGGTCAGCTCATCACCTGTGAGCACTCTCTCCCGCTCTGGGCTGGGACCCCTTAGCTGGAATGGACCCTGGAGGTCCATCGGGCTGTGCTGGAAATTCAGTTAGTGATCTCTCTCCCCCCAGTTAATTGTCCCTGGGGCATAGTGACATGTGGCCCAGTGACCACAGGAGCCCCTGGGGAAAGCACAAGCCAGGCTGTGAACCAGGGTACCCCAGGGGAGCCTCATTGGAGACAAGGGGAGGTGCCGAGAGCCCTGGCAGGCAGGCGGCACAGTACACGGCAGGCTCAGTGGCTCTGATGTCCTTACCTGGGAGACTACCTTGTCCAAGCAGCCCGTCCCATGCCACTCTCTATCATGGTCACCCCTTGTGGTTCCCGCCACCGTCGAGGTGTTCTTGCCTCTGGCCACCTGCCTGCTCCTCCTCCTCACAGCATGCTGGGTTCCCAGGGACAGTTCCTCGCCTGCTTATTTACTGCTGTGTGCCCCAAACCAGGATGGCACTTCTGGCCAATCAATCTTCGTTGAATAAATTAGCATGTGATTTATGAAAACTTGACTGTCATACTGTCAAATTGAGTGGGATTCGAGCATCAAGCAGGACAAGCACCACCCAATAATCTATGCCGTGTCACAGACTGCACGACACAGCTGTATTTCAAAGATGCTCACCCTCGGGCAGGAGGTGGGTGCAGTTACGTGCTCTAGTGGTGCCCGCACATGGCAAGGGCAGTTCTGCCACCCACCCCAAGCTTCTGCCACTGTCTTGGGGCTTCTGCTAGTAGCTGCCCTTCCAGGGTCTACGCCCTTTGCCTTACCATGAGCACCAGCACAGACATGGCCCACTTCCTGAGGGTGCTGCAGCTCCTCCTGCCCCCACCCTGGACACTGTGCACTGCTTGCTGGCCTGGCTGAGCTTTCCCAAGGCACCAGTCAGGGGTAGTCCTGATGCGGTGAAGGAAGAATAGGAGGAATGAGTGTAGGAAGTCACCTGTCCCTGCAAAACAAAGAGCCTGTAGGTGTGTCCTGAGTGTACGCACACCTAGGTGTGTGTGTGTGTGATCACATAAGCATGAGGAAGGCCTACAGAGACACCGGGAAAGTGGTCAGTACTGATCACCTGAGGCCCTGAAAAGTGTGCTGAGAGTGTGCACAGACCTGCCCACGGGAAGTGCTCTCGGTGGGTTCTCCCTGTTGTAAAGTAGTATCTCCACGTGGAGATTACAAATACGTGTCAACAGAGGTGTGTAAGCAGGCCCAGGCTCCACATCGTGATGTGGGCACAGTCCCATCCCCCTTGGGGACAGGCTCAGCTCCTCTGGGCCAGGAAGACTAGACAGGCCATAAGGTGGTGACTGGCAAGCGGGCAGGTGCCTGAGCAGAGGGGACACCCACAGTGTGCTCTCCCCTGGGAATGTGGTTTGTGGGTCTCCAGATCTGCTGGATTTTCCCGAGAAGTGGGGACCCTCAGTCATGAGTGGCAGGAAAGGAAAGCCATGAAGCCACTCTGGAAAGGTACCACATGACCAAGCAGTTCCAGTCCTCAGAATCCATTCAGGAGACACCAAAACACCTCTGTGTAAAGACGCACACACATGCTCACATTTGTTTAGAAAATCCAAAAGTGGCCATTGATGGACAGTGTGGGGTCCACCCAGACAACCGAATGTCCTTCAGCAATGGAAGAACAAACTGCCGATCCAGGTTAGACTGTGGCACAGCTTCAAACAAACCCACGATGCTAAGTCAAAGGCAGGGAGAGCAGAACACAGATCCACAGGGACAGAAGTGGTTGCCAGGGTCTGTGGGTGGGAGGAGCAACTGACTGCAAACGGGTGACACGAATGTCCCATGACTGGGTCATGGAGATGGCTGTCTGACTCAGAGGACTTGCCAACATCTTTGAAATGCGTGGCTACAATTCTGACATGTCAGCATCACCATGCACAGCACACCAGGCCTCCCTCCCGGGGTCCACCTCATGTAGCCAGAGGACCTTCTGACTCAGAGTTCGTAAGTCCTTGGCTGTGTGGCCGCTGGGCCAGGCTCTTCACCTGATTGATGGAACTCATATGCCCTCCAAACGACTTTGGATGCTGGGACTCTGACTGTCCCAAGGGCGGGGAGAAACACGAGGACTGCCCAAGGCTGCCTGCCTCGGAAATACCAAGGCCCAGGGAGAGCCTTCAGCAAGCCTCACAGCACGAGCCGTCTCTCACAGCTCTGGAGCCGCAGACCAGGGAGCCGCATGGCTGGCTCTGGCTGCGCTCCTCCTGGCTGGCAGATGGCTGCCTTCTTGCTCTGTCCCCGCAGCTCCTTTTCTGTTTTCCTCTTTACTCACCCCCTGCTTTTCTTTGGTAATGGGGCTTGAACCCAGACGTGCTTTGAGACAGGCTCTTGCTAAGGTACCCAGCCTGGCCTTGAACCTGTGATTCTCCTGCTACGGCATCCTGAGTGGCTGTGACTACAGGTGTGTGTTGCCACACCCGGCTTCTCTTCCTCTTCATGAAGGGCAAAAGTCCCACCAGGACCTCTACTCTAGTGACCTCTCTAAGCCCAGTTATTACCCAGAGCTCCCACTGCTTAACACCACCCGACTGGGGACAGGGCCTGGGCATAGGGACTCGGGGGTGTGCAGGCCACAGTGGTCCACTGGCTGCCTATCACATGAGCTTCAGGTTCCCAGGCCAGGGCTCCTCTCTTGTAGCACATCCAGCTACCTGTGCCAGGGTCACTGGTCCTCTGCATCGCCCTATGGGCACTGAGCTCAGGCTGCTGGTGTCAGACCCAGGAGATGGGAAGGTTTATTTGCGTGCACTGGGCAAAACCTCAGAGTCTTCAGACTCAACCAAACTGAGCTCCCTAAATCCAAAGCCTCCTGGGCCTGCAGCAGAGAAGCATTGATTAGATGTGAACACCCTCCCCATGGCAGCCGGACACAGCCTTCAAGCCCCAGGGGTGACACTCCTGAGTGGCCAGCCCCCTTCATAATGCTCGCCCATGCTGTGCTTTGTCCATGGCCAGGGATGTCACCTCCCCACTCATCTCAGGGGGTCGTTCTCAGCTCGAGTCTGCTCATTTCCCTAAAGGTACAGATCACATTCCTGGAAACATTGGCTACGGGCTCCTTGTCAAAATCATTTCTGAGCAGCCAGGGATGACCCTGGGTGTAACTGTGATGAGATCTGCTTCTGGGTCTTGTTTCTCTCCTGGGTTTTGAAGCTAAAAATAGATTCCTTCTCTTTGGAGAACGGGCTGGCGTCTCCGTCTAAGCTGTCACTCACCCAACTGAGATCCTGTCCTCTGACCCTGGTCCCCGGTCCTGCCGTCCCCTCCTGCCTCCCTCAACTACCGCTCTATTCTCTGCTTCTATGAATTTAACTCAGGACAAGGTCAAGGGCTCTTTCTACAATACAGCGATCCCAGTTCATAACAATGCACTCGATTTTTAAAGTTTTCTGAGGTTGTTTCAAGTGTTCTCACCATAAAAAGATCCGTGAGTCATTGCCTATGATAATTAGCCGGAAAGAGCTCCTCCACAGCACTTGAGCATTTCCCAACACAACATATTGTACCCGGGAGGTAGATAGGATTTTTATTGTTCACTTAAATAAATAGAGAAAGAAGGAAGGAAAGAAAGAGAGAGAGAGAGAGAGAGAGAGAGAGAGAGGAAGGGAAGAAGAAAGAGAAAGACAGATTACCAAGATGGTAAAATGGAGCAGGACCAAGAGGGACCTCGCTGGACAGGTTCTGAGCTCGAACAGACCAGCGGACTCCTAAGCTCAGAGGTTCCTAGAGAACGGAGGCCCCTGAGCCCCACCTCTCCGTGGCTGCACGCTGAGTCACTTACTTTGATGACACCCTCATCCGCAGACTTGCACTCCACCGACTCTGAGATGTCGGTCACCGCGCTGTTCTCCTCCACGGAGACCACCCTGAGGGGCACCGCCACTGTCTTTCCTGTGAGGATGGCTGTGTTCAGGATTTCAGTGTCCTGCCGAAAGAACCAGACACGCGGGGGTCAGGGGGGCGCTCCGTCCCTGGGATTTCCAGGGTAAGCACCAGGCTGCCCCTGTTAAAGACATCCTGTGGCACTTCCTTCAAATGTAAAGGCCATAGTTTGGGACGGATTCTCAAGAATGCCCAATGCGTGGTCTGCATAGGTCTCCTGGCTCCCCATGACCACTGGTTCATTTCCTCTCTGCCGCGGAGCAGGTGGTGATTCTCCACCAGCCAGGCTGTGGTCCTGAGCCGCAGGCGTGTCCCTGGGTACCTCGGGCCAGCAGACACTGTGGGGGGTGCCTGGTGCGCTCTCGACACCCTGTAGCAGATGTCTGCCATCTGACCTCCAGAGCCTGGACTACGTCACCTGACCTGGTAAGAGGGACTTTGCAGGTATGATAAGGCTCAGGATCTTGAGATGGGGACCCCATCCTGGGGGACCTACATGGCCCAATTCTAACATCTTCCCACAAAGGTCTGGGGAAGGAAATGAGATGCAGATATGAGGGCAGAGGTTCCAGGGACCTGCTTGTGGCCTAGAGGTGGGTGGCCTGTGGGTGATGGGTGGCAGGGCAGGAGCATGCACTGACCACACCTCCACCTGGCCCCTGGGCTCATCCCAGATGCTCCTCAGAGATGTCAGGTCCCATATGTTGTCACCTCCTCATAGAAGTGCAGCCACAGGACAGGACAGGTGGCAGGTGGCTCAGAGTCACAGGGAAAGTGGAAGAGCACTTCGTCAAGGTGGGACGAGGTCACCCCCGGGCAGTCTCTCCAGCGAGGTGGCCAGGACGCCTTCAACCACCCACCTGTGCATGGCCCCGCCTGAGGCTCGTTCTGGGAGGGTGTCTCTGGCTGGCCATGCTGGGCTCAGGGCCCACCCCTCACCCAGAGGAGGACCTGGCATGTTCACCAACAAGACTACCAGACAGATTTCCATAGGAAAAAGGGGGTTGAAAAAAATCAGACTCATGTTACCAGAAAGAGAGAGTGGTGAGATTCCCCCCGCAGGGCCACCGAGTTGGCCCTGGAGCCTGGGCTGGTGGCACTGTAGCAGTGGCCCCAGAACTGGGCTTCATGTCTTGTTTGTTTGTTGATTTTTGCTTGAGGGGGTCTAGTTATGTTGTCCAGGCTGGCCCTGAACTCCCGGGCTCCAGCAACCCTGCTTCAGCCTCCTAGGTAGCTGGGATGGCAGCTGCCACCCTTCCACCCAGCTAAACACTTGGTTTTATTTGGGGCAGTACCGGGAATTGACACCAGGGGCGCTCTACCTCTGAGCTACACCCCCTGCCCTTTTTATTTATATTTTTTTTGTTTCAATGTCAGTGTCTCACTAAGTTGCCCAGGCTGTCCTTGAACTTGTGATTCTCCTGCCTCCATCTCCAGAGCAGGGGTTTCCTTGTTCAGTGAAAACTTTTCAGCAAACCAGACCCTCTTCCTCTGCCGCCCTGGGGAGCCCCCTCCGACACAGCCAGGGGGGCTTGGCTGATTCTGTTCATGTTGACGTCATTCGAAATTCTCAGTCTACCTCCTCCTGCAGCCCTTGCGACTTGCAAAGCAGTGGAGAAACACGTTTTTTTTGCGTCTGTAGGGTGCAGGCTGCTCACAGACGGTGATGTGTCTAGCACGCTATTTAAGTGCCTGAGATGGCACCGTCTCCTGAAACCTCCTTTTGTAAGCCTTTTCTTGATGGCCAAATGAGGGTACGAAAGGGTCTTTGGCCTTGGGACATCTGCTGAGACCTTTTACCCTCGGGTAGGTTTTCCCTAAAGTCCCTCTCCAGAAGTGCTGCTCCAGTTTGAAGCAGGAGACGCCAGCGGAAAGATTTTCTGTTCTTTCTTCAGGGAAGCAATTGACACGGGTGACCTTTTGCAGTAAGCAGGAGCACCATGGGCAGAGGCTTGGGTTATGAGTGGAGCCCAGCCTTTCTCATGAGCTAGCAGTTAATAACCCTCTGCCAGGTCTGTCCCTGGTGCCCAGGATTCCTGAGGCTGGGGCTGTAATCTGGGCTGCTTTCAGAACGGCTTTACAGATGCTAAGAATACCGCAGGAGCCCCCGAGTCCATTTCCAGGGTCATTACAGGTAATGTGCTCAGAGACGGACCTGCACATTCTCTACACAGAGCTATGGCTTCATTAAAGCTGCAGGCTCCCTGGCCGACTAATTGTGATTAGTTTCCTAGTGCTGTTGGGGTTTCACACCCGCATGCATACACTCATTTGCACACATGTCCACACTCACCCTGTCCTACCTTTACAATCCCTGTCTGAAACTGGCATTGCATGGAGGCTGGGAGGGCTGGACCTCAGCCTTCCTGACCACATGGATTTTCAGGGCGTTAACAGCCATGGAAAGAACAGGGGACAGAAGGAAATGCCTCCAAGGCAGGCCAGTAGCCTGTGGGTAGGTCCCCTGGTGGGGGAGTCACTTTCCTGTTCATTGCCTGGTGAGCACAAGGAGTTGGGAATCTGGATTCTTCTCTGTGACAAACAACACTGACTTGCGTGGCCTCGATCACCCCTCTCTCTCTCTCTCTCTCTCTCTCTCTCTCTCTCTCTCTCTCTCTCTCTCTCTTTCCATTCCCTCCTTTTGCAGATGAAGGCTTGGACTCCGTCATCCCTGGGTATCTGGCTGTCAGATCTAGACATCTGTCTTACTCAGCCCATTTGACCACAGTAAAATTCCACAGATGGGGAGGGTTGCAAACAACACACACTTGTTCCTCACAGCTCTGGAGACCTCAAGACCAAGATCAAGATTCAGGGTCTGGTGAAGATGGAGTTAAAGAGGGAGGGAGTGAGGGAGGGAGAGGGAGAGAGAGAGAGTGAGAGAGAGAGAGAGAGAGAGAGAGAGACAGACAGACAGACAGACACACACTGGTGTAGACACAGGGTTCTGTGTGGCTAGTTGCAACTCCCAAATACTTTTCAGTTGATGCAATTCATTGCTGACCAGGACATTATTTAAGTGCATAAAGTTGCATTATTTTCTGAAACCCACTGAAGCCATCCTGTGCAGGGACTGCTCACCTCCCTTTGCCCTGTCCCTCACGGCTGCCCAAGTAAGCTTATACTGCTGGCTGCCTATCCCCGGCCCCTTCTGGCCGGGGAGGAGTTCATCCTCATAGAAAGCAGAACTCTGCCTGAGACCATGGGGTCGTACAACTGCTGTCGGCCCCAGCAGAGTTTAGCACGCACTTATCAACCCAGTTGCAGAGTGCTGAAGCCGTCACTATTGCCTGGGAGACATTGGAGTCATTAAAGGTTCCTCCCTCCTCTTCCTCTGAGCTCTCCCTCTGTCCCTTCCACCACCATCAGAGAGCTGCTCTGCTCTGCTGTGGAGGGTCAGTGGCCCAAGGCACTTTAAATCACTGCCATTTCAAATTTGCAAAGAGCCCGAGGCTTTGGATTAAACACGCTTTGTTGTTGACTTGTCCTCATAAATGCTAATTGCTTGAGCTGTTTTAATTTTTAAATCAATAAAGAGCATAGAATTGCTTCTGGAGCGTGAGACCCAGGGTGTGAACCGCCTCAAATTATGCCTGGGAAGGGGCCAGCTGTGGTCGCTGGGTCTTGACCCCTGGGGCAGAGCAGAGGGTAAACATGAAGGGGCATCAGGACATGTGTGAAGTGGGAGGGCCAGACGCTGAAGGGCGCCCTCCGCAGCTCCTTCACAGGACACATGCAGGGCGAGCTGGTCCACAGGGACAGGAAGCTGGCAGAGGGCGCTGCGCATGGATGGTGCTGTGCTGGGGAAAGCACTTTGGAACTGGATGGAGTGATGGCCACCAAACCTGCCAAAGGTGGGAACCCCTGAGGTGAGCTTTCAAGAGGTAGGTTCTTGGGAGCAGGGATCCTGTCTGAGAAAGAGGAAGAAAGGGAGGAGGGAGGGAAGGAGGGAAGGAGTGGGTGACCAGGGAGGACAGGAGGGAAGACTTGAGGGTGGGCAGGAGGTAGACCCACCAAGAGGCCTGGGCCAGGCTGGACTCGCTGACTCTGGGTTCGCAAGGAGGCCTTGGCTGAGCCAAACAGCTGTTCCCCTTGGAAACAGGACTAAGAGAAGGTAGCTCACGCACAGGGGCGAGACACTGGCCTAGGGTCCATGAAGCTGGTGGCCGTGTGGTCCACAGCCTACAGATGGGGAAACCCAGGCCCAGGGCTGGGTGAGCAGCCATGGTCCAGCAGGCCTGGAGCATCCACCCAGGACGGCACACATGGCTTGACCACATTTCTGGCTGACTAGCAGGTAAGAGTGAGGACAGAGGTTCACCTGGGGTCCTGGCTCTGCCTTTCTCTGGCTGTGCTTAGTTCTCCAAGCATTAGTTTCCTCGACTGAACCAGGGGAATAACTGGGTGGTTGGGGAGTTAGATCTGGTGAGGTTTGGGGTCACTCACTGGGGTGTGGGACAAGTTCTGGTGGCCTCAGGGCAGCTGGTGAGCCTGGGTGCTGAGTGTCTGGTGTGAGGTGTGGGTGGGGAGGGACCAGGCTTCCCGCAGGAAGCTCTTTGCTCTTTGGAGCTTTTGGGGGACACCTCATATCCAACATTGGGGCTGTGTCGGGGAAAGGACAGAAAATAAAATAAAGGCCAATCCTCGTTTGTGTGATGTGCAACACACAGATGTTGAGATGTCTGTTTCAAAATTTTTGTTTATAAAAGAGAAAATGTGGCATATGTGTTAGCTTTTCCTCTCTGTGTCCAAAATACCCAACAAGAGCAAGTTAGCAGAGGGAAAGGTTCTATTGGCTCGTGGATCCAGAAGTTTCAGTTCATGGTTGGCTGCATCCCTTCCTCTGGACCCAAGGTGAGGCAGAACCTCATGGCCAGAGGTCGTGGTGGAAGAAAGTTGCTCAGGACATTGTGGTCAGGAAGCAGAGAGAGGGAGGGAGGAGAGGGGTCATCGGGCAGGTTCCCAGGCTCCCGGTGACCCACCTACTCCTGCCACACTCCATCTGCCTACAGTCACCCCCAGTTGGTCTATTCAATGAGGATG